ATATATATATATATATATATGACAAGATAAGATAAGTTAAAGCTTTATTGTCATTGTACAGAGCACAATGAAATTACTGTTCAGAACACCCATTCAAAAGAAGACAGAACATAACAAACATAGGAGAACAGGTGCCCTGGGTCATGCAGCCATAGATCCCTGCATAGAGCAAGGATCATCATCATGAAGACATCATGAGGAGGTTCAACCCTTAATAGAAAAAGAAAAACTAATTACCACACAAGGAAATATGAGGGGGGAAAAACAAAACATCATATTATATCAACAAAATGTGACATGCTATGGTGTTTATATGAAAAAAACTCTGCAAAGCAAGATCACGTTTATTAGCCAGAGGAGTAAATGAGTTTGGGGGTGGGGGGTGGGGGGGGACATGTATCTGAAGCCATGAGTGTTGTATGCACTTGTGTGAATATCTGAAAAAATGTGCCTGAAGAATCTAGTCCCCAAAAACCCACCCAGCCATAGATCAAAATACTGTTACTTTTCATTCTGTGCAGCCTTCAGCTTGCTCCAGAAACAAGATTACAGACGAGAGTAAAGGGGGGGGGGGTGTAAGGGCAGACCCTCAGCCGACATAAATACCAGGAGAAATTAGATCCACAGCTCTTCTAGGCCATGGGGGAGAGCCAAAACTGTAATCAGTTGTTTGGGAACAGAAGAAATGTTTTTGGTCAGGCAGACAATAATGATTTTCCATCTGCCTTAATGTCCACTGGTACTTTCCATGGCGGCAAATCCAGTCAGACAATCCTGTTGAGCCGAGCTATCATTTTCTCCAAGATCAATTCCGTATCACCAGCAACGTCCAGGGACCGCAGCCGGCCTGTGACCCTCAGCTAGGACTGCTTGCAGACCGAGTCCCAGCTAGCACAGGACCTGAGTCTGAGTGCTGTTAGTACGGCAATCCTTCATATTGGTCAGGCATTCAGGAAATGACCTGAATAGTCATTGATGCTGTTTTGCAGAACACCAGGAGACCACCAAGCCAATCTGTAGAAATCCAGTGATTAGAATCCAAATATGTATCCAGAACAGAGCAGAACAGATATCCCACCTTTGACGACCACCAAGCCAATCTGTAGAAATCCAGTGATTAGAATCCAAATATGTATCCAGAACAGAGCAGAACACATATCCCACCTTTGACGACCACCAAGCCAATCTGTAGAAATCCAGTGATTAGAATCCAAATATGTATCTAGAACAGAGCAGAACAGATATCCCACCTTTG